TAATGTAGAAAGTCAACCCAAGATATGTATGATGACAACGCTCTGATAATTACTTTTCCCTAAAAGATGGTAACATTTTATTGTGGAACTTTAGTAGGCGGGACGGGCTAAGATCATGTTCGAACTTTATGTTTACTGTGAAATCCGGAACTTCAAAGATAGGTAAAACAGAATATCAACTACCCAAAGAATCACGTGCAAAAAATACGAAGAGGAGGTCTTCTTGTTACCTGTAGTGTGAAATTCCTGACTTCGCGCAGCCCCGAGGTAGGGGTCTTGACTCTGGATAATCCTGACTTTTTGTCATAATATTTTAGTTGGAATTGCACATAATAATTATTATGTGCAATTCCAACTAAAATATTATGACAAATATTATGACTTTAAAGTTCATTTGAATAGGACATATATCAGCGCTGTCTGAAACAGGAAAATTACGAAAACTGACCAGGCAAAGCATGCATTTCAACAATGTTCAGAGACACGAGGTACCTGAAGATTATTTTCGCGAGAACATTGAGAGGTAGTTCACTGGATAAATAATCTCAATTCAGAAGCTTATAGCCTAGTGTTGTGGACAGCTTTTGAGCATTGAGAACGAGACATGTAGCTCACCCCCATCAAGACGAAGTGATCATTTGATAGTTCTGTGGGAGCGCGTCCAAAATTATGTACTGCGCTAGTCTACCATGGCCAAAAAACGCTAATCGAGGTAATGTCTGAGTAAAAAGGGAAATTGCTGAAGTTTGGGATGTGTGTGACAGTTAGCTCGCGGTCGCCAGCTCGATAGCTAGCCCATACCGTCTTCAGTTTGTCTAACAGACTTGGCAGTCGATTACTTTCGCCACGCCTGACTTTGTCCGTCGTGGAGACATCATGACGCCAAATAATGTTGCTAAGTTCACAGATTGGACACAGACTGACTAATCCCAGACGCGCACGTGTTTCGCTTCGGGAATAAGAACGTAAAATGGCAGCATCAGCCTGGTGATAGGACTTGCGGTCACTGCCTGCTGAGCCACGTGGAAGCATTTCCCCAGTAAACGTTGTGCATTCACTATGTCTTCCCCAACTTCTAATCCGGAAACTTTTGAGTTGTCGCTTATCAAACTTTCGCAAGTGTTCAAACGGATTATTCCCTGCCAGCACCAACCCCTCCTTGCCCCGCCTAGCCCCATCAAAATGGCGGGGCTAGAGGGGGCTATGAAGGGGTTAGGCGGGGCTGTGGGAGGGACTTTAGCGGGGCATTCAACACGACAGCCCCGCCTGGCCCCACCAGCGAAATAAAATTTACAGGTACGCGGGAACAACAAAGGATCAAGTTTATTGGCGCAAAATGGCCATTTGGTAAGGGGACCAATTAGCCTTTGGGCCTGTTCAACCTATAAGTAACCCTGCCAGCACCAGGCCCGCGTAACCTCCTTAAATATGGCGGGGCTAGAGGGGGCTATGAAAGGGTTTGGTGGGTCTGTAGAAGGGGCTGTGGCGGGAAATTCAACACGACAGCCCCGCCTGGCCCAACCAACTACAAATGAGCAGGGGACACCAGATTTCTGCCTACTTTTGGCACTCCTTTAAAATAGCGACCTGTATGATGAGTCCCCTCAGGCGCGTACACACATAATACCTGCTGGCAGATGTTTCAGAGCTCAAAATAGGCATTTCTCGTTCAGCGGATTTATTGCCAACTGCTGTCGACATTGAGGGAACCTCAGACACAGGCTCTTCAGTGGCCTCACAATATGCCTTCATCTGGTGGTACGGTGAGAGCCACAGTAATTACGCTTCATAATTGTTTTGGATATTGAATAAAAAACGATAAAACATTGTATAGGTGAAGTATGAACACCAATGCTAACTAGTACATGCATATACAAACAAGACGATTACATGAATGGATTTGTGAGTAAATACCCAAACAATTAGCATAAGATACATAAATTAACTAAGACAGTTATTAAAAGCATAAAAACAGCAGTGGTTAACGAAGGATATTATCCGCGACCCGTGGGCTCAAACGAAAGCTTTTTACATGATTTATAAGCCACTTTTGATAAATTAGCACCTTTTAATGCCAAAGAAGGTACAATGAGTGTTGCTTTTGAAACATAACTTTCGATGCAAATGCACTTCAAAATGTTTCAAGCCAGAGGGGGTTCTGGCCCCGCCCGGCCCCTTCCCAGCCCCGCCTATGAAGGGGCCATGTGCTGGCAGGGTTTTTATTTATGTGCACGCAAAACCAAAGCATTCGAATGTGGCTGTTGTGAGGAGGTAAGAGTGGACTGTGCACTCAGCCACGGCGAGGGAACACATGAAAGCGGACTAACAGATTCCTTTTGATGCAAGAATCGGAGACGGATATCAGATGGGAACCGACGTAAATACCACTCGAATTTAAGAAAACGATGAAGAGGATTGCCATGTATCTTGATGTTGCCGCTTGATGTTGTTTGAATTATCTCTTCTGGATGCGAGAAGGGGGAACTTAAGATGAGTCCGAAGTTAAACAGCAAAGCTCCTGGTGAATGTCGAACAGAATTATAGAACAGCGAGCAATCATTTGTCTCAAGCCCTGTGCTGCATTTATGGTGGGGTTCAGCTGGTTGTTGGACGTTTCGACCTCTACGCTCGTCAAATTACAATCTCTGGTAGTGATTTCTGTGCAGCTTGGTAAACCGATAATAAAGGGAGACAATTCTGACCCCTTGCCAGAGTGCAAAATTAACTTGCATCGAGAAGTCTGGCCGTTAGTTCTCTTTGCCAGTAAACGAACTTTCATAGATAGAGACAATGAGTTATTTAGAAACGTACGCGGAGCGTTTATTCGTTCGCAGCTGGAATATGGAATCCAAACATGGTGCCCGTGGTTGAAAAAACACTATTAGTTACTGGAAAGAGTTTAGAGGAGAGCGACCAAAATTGTGAAAGGCCTCAGGACTTTTCCTTACAACTGCAGACTTGATGAGTTTGACCCAAATTCTCTTGAGTACAGACATATCCGAGGAGATTTCATATAGGCGTGTCGGATTTTGAGGAATCGGGACTGTGCCCTACATCTCGATGATTTCATCACCTTGGGCACTAATACAAACCTGCGTGAGAACTCTCTAAAACTTAGAGGATTCCGATACCGCCTGAACGTTCGCAGGTACTTTTTCCACAAAGTGTGATCAGCCCATGAAACGGGCTTTCCGAGGACGTGATAATGGCGGATTCCATGGAGACTAGGTACATATTTGTTTGAAAAATATTTCTAGTATGGACAGAACATCTCTGCTACACCACACCAACGCCTTGCATACACCTACCGCTAATGCGGATGATTTTCATTTCACTTGCCGTTATCAACTACAATAGGGGTTTCAAAGGCATTGGCTTATACTGACCTAACTGTTTTGGTTGTTTTAGCTCAACTGACAGAAATCTATAGGCAGATATGCGCCTGCGGCCTTCGCCCAATGGCAAGGTCTTTGAATATCTTGATATTACCTTTGCATACTTATCGGCATTTTCTGCAGTTTTCCGAGATTACGACAATCAAATCCGAATTCCACGAGTGAGGAGGTCTCGAAGATTCTTACCTAAGTGAGTGAAAAGACTCTGGTAACTGTCTTCATCTCAATAGTCGACGAAGGAATCCACAACCACCGCGGGCGATGTGGTTCATAACGGTTAAAAGGCAAAAACGACCATTGAAGGAGGATAGGGTATATACGATTTCCAGGTAGGCATGACTGATTATCGCACTAAGGTCGGTGAATGCGTCAACCTCGTCTCGCTGGCATTTTGGTCCTTAGCGCATTGACAACCGAAACACAGCTGAGATAAGCGGGTTTGTTGACAGGCAATTGGTTAATTGCTTAGCACCATGTGGTCAGATTAGTGAGGTTTACCTTGGGTACAGATGAGATTGGAGTATGAAGGATTTGAAGGGGACAACAGTCGGTTAATTTCACTATCGTCATCGAATCAGGTGTTTAAAGTAGACTAGAAAACGTAATACAGTTTAACAATTTTCATGGGCGGAACTAGATTGAATGGACACATAAGGCGTGGTTGCGTTGTTTGTGGCATATAAGACTTGTAAACTCACGAGTTTTGAGAAAATTCGGAAAATACATAATGGTGAAGGAGTTAGAGAGAAGCTCTTCGTCGAATATACTGCAAGTGGTTTCGACAGGAGGTAGCTTCAAGTAAAAAAATGTTAGAATTTAAGCTGAGCATACCCAGCGTCGCCGGATGACTGCGCCAAAAGCTACGTCGATGTAATGACTTGGGAGAAAGTACTGCTTGTCGGATGTCGATTTTTACATGGTATAAGACAGTTAGAACATACTGAATGCACTTAAAATAAACGTCAGAACACTGTGACGGTTAGATAGTGACAGAAAGGGCCGCTGATACTGTCTCCGATGATGGGTTCGAGCGAGAATCTGAACTTCAGGATAACTGTCAGATTGCTGATTTGTTTATCATAATAGGGCCAATAAATAACCTTTTACCATTGCTACATGGATTGTTGTTATTTGGACAATTTTTATTAAAAATGATTTGGCAAACCGCAGCGGCTACAGTAACACAGTTAATTAAATCGGACCACTAAGGCGCAGACTGGCTTTTCAGGCAAAACCGACTATTTGATGTGTAACGAATAATCATTGCTACTACTATTTTTCCCGTATGCAATTTAAACCACGATGACTAGGCATAGTTTCGGGCAGTGCGACTTAATGCACTGCTTAAGACCAATGAGCTTTGGAAATTTATTTGAAAAAGCCATTAAGTGTGCCTATAGCAAACATGACAAGATAATTATGGGCGCGAACCCAATCGCGAAAGGCGCTTTTGTTTAAACGAATCAAAGTGATTACAAACTATGCGCGCAATTTTATGTCGGCTTTTTGACCGCGCTTTGCGTTTTGTTGCGCCTGCCGGTCTAGCTATTGCACACGAAGGACATTTTCAGCATTGTTTCTGAATGTTCTCATACTGCTGTAAGCATGCTCAATATGAAGACTGACTTCGGTTGCTGGTACGGAAAGTCTTATTTATTTTTTAAGTTGTGTTGGAAGTAAAAGCTGAATTATTATTTGGGTTTTCGTTTCCTCTGACCAGAGACGTCTTCCATTCCCACCTTTACAACAATGTATTATTTATATTTCCGGCTTTTAGCAAGAATGTTAATCCGCATCACCCTTTCCCTCGTGGAGTACTCAGTTGTTCCGACGTGTAATGGGAAAAGTATCGCGAAATCGCTAGCTTTTGAGCCTATTGTTGGTTTTGCAGCAATTTGCATCTTTGTAAAATATAAGCCAGACAGCAAGTTGCTTGGTGGGGGTCTATAAAGCGGTGGTTAACGGCAGGTTATCTTGCAGACAGTCTGCCCGTCTCCCCTGATAACATTTTGCTGCTAAGTTGCAGGCTAACGTAACTTCAAGGTTGCTACGGTTGCGGATCTGTGCGATCTCAAGTTTGCACTTGCACGCGCGCGCGCACCTCTTTACGTCACGGATCGCGTGGGCCGTTAAATTTCTGAGTTCGGAAACTTTAGAAATACGCCTGAAGTTGGGACTGTCTGCTTGCCTGCGCGAAGTACACTTGCACGTGTAGGCGCGCATGAATCGACGCAGCTTATCTTCTAGACGGGGGCTGCTGTTTGGGTCAGTCAGAGTTCTCACCACCAACTAACTGTGCATTGTTCCTTTAGCTACTAAAAGTGGCTCCGGCTACGTTATCAGGGTCAATTCAGTGCGATTAAAAGGAGTGGTGACGCTTATATCCCTTGAAATGTTGAAGGACGAAATTGATAAACGATAATGTGGAAAACTATCTTAAACTGATAATCTGTAGAAAAGCCGACGGAAAACTGTTGAAGCGAAATGAGTAAAAACAATCCTAAGTGCATCAACCACGAAAATGTTGCAACTTGTACGCGGCTGTTGCTTACATAAAAGTGACAGAAGGCTAAACTGTACTGCTGTCCTGACAGCGAGCCTCGAAGGAATATGCTTAAACATGGCCTCTCCTCTTGGCTTTCACCTAAAATAATGCATGCAATCATAAATGTCTGGTTCTCTCTTTTTGGAAGCTCATGTTTTGCCCAATTTGTTTTCGAGCCTTGGCAACAGCCTCCAAGCATTATTTCCATGGCACCAGACCGCTAGGCGAATAATTCGACAAATAACGCCCGGTGACAACCCTCCTGCTAATTAATCTTAAATAATGACGAGATCCTATCTCGTCTAAAATCTTTATATAATTGGCAGGAAGAAGATAGTGTACCGAAACTACTAATAATAAATCATTCATATTAATGTCAACAGTGTTCTTACGGATCATTGACAAAATCCTTTTAAATCGGAAACGAACGATAAAATATGCTGAAGCTGTAGAGAAGTATAGGCCAGAAAAATGGTAATCTTATTAATAGATTCATAAATAGCATTTAGCCATAGGATCTTTCAACGAGAACCAGTGACTGACTTTCTTAGAAGTCTTGCTGGAGCCAAAGAAGTCAGCGCCAACATACCTTCCGTCGTCAAAGGTTATAATGACGTCGGAGAGCAAGTCTGTCCTCGGTGACTTTTTTCTACAATCGTAAACCGCTCTGAGACTGACCATGCAATTGTTTTCAGCCCATCGACGTATAACATTCCTAAGACAATAGGAAAGTGACCAGGAGTGAATGCAGGAAATTTCATCCGTTGCCTCTGAAATCGTCATAACGCCCATTCATTGGCCAAAGATAGACTCCTGTGCACGGTGTTCGGTCAGCTGCAAGGTGAAGCATGTCATCTGGAGCTAGAGCAATGAATAAGCCGCCAACTTTCGGGGACATTAGGTGCGGTAGTTGTCTTCGCCGCATAGCGATTCCGACTGTTGTTTTTACGCTTTTCGGAAATATCAATGGACTCGACCAATCGCCATGTACTCCTTTGGCAAGGACGTACCTTCCATATACCAACGGAATGCGTATTACGACGAAAACCATTTTCAATGGCCTCTCGTACATGGAAACGGAGTTCGAGGAATCAAGTGACAACGTGGATACGGCCAGAGACGCTCCTGATCGCCGTTTAGTGAAGTTTGACGGGTCAGGCTTCTTAAGAGCACTGACAGGGAGGTCCCTTGTCGTCGATTTAAAATTCTCTAGAAGACAACACTGTGACAAAATCAGCAACTTGACTTGGGTTATTTCCGCAATGTAAGATGTCTTACAAACGATTCAACTATGCTTGTCCCACGTTATTCTGTGCCATGTTCAGTGACTTACTGAACGACCGCAACGACCAGCGCTAAACTCGTGCTTGTTTACTGCGGGGAATCGATTGTACACGATGGATTGGCCTGACGCATTGCCTGTAACAGGCGGACTTCTGCACATCGATGTGAACCTCCTGCCTCGTAGTCAGCTTTTTGTCAAGATCCCGCGACAGTGTTCTGAAATCGATATCCTGTTTGGGTTTGCGCTGCGGTCGTTCTAGAGGTGTGTGCGCCACAGAAGAGCGTCCAACTGCGACCTGGTACATAAACTTCTTTCAAATGAAAATGACCGAAACTGGCTTGACTTACGAGGGAAACATTAAGCGTAAGTATTGTTGACAACGCACTGGTGGGGCTACCTCCGTTAGATTTCTTAGCAGTTCGCATTCCAGTTTACGGCTTCAGTATGCAAGATTTAGGCGGGCACCACAAAGTTGACTTTCCTTGGCGATGGGTCGAAATTTCGGGTTGGCTAAATAGCACCGGCAACTCCCTGTCATGGTAACGTTTTGTTTACTAATTGTCAGAGCTGACAAACCTCATTGCTTATTTGTTGGTAATGCTGTCCCAAGGGTAGTTCCCAAGAGGTGCACGGGCGCATTGTATTTGCACTGGATACCGGAAGTCTTTCGTGTCTTGGCGTGGAAACATAGGCGTTTCCGTTATCTATTATCCTTTACGATTTGGGCACAAGATTTTTTTCACTGCGGATAATTGAAGGGCTAGGTCTTATACTCAATTTCTTCACTTGGGGTGGTTGTTATCAATGCTGGTCGTGGTTTAAAACAGCGAGATGCATTCTTATTTTTTATTTTTCCGGATTTACAGTCAAGTAGCTAATGCACTGACACATTGCATCTCATTGCTATTTTTAAATGACATACAGGCGAATGCCCATTCTTCAAACAGATATGGGACAGCTTTTGTGTCATAAATCACTTTACAATTGCCTCCTATTAACCCCAACCAGCTGTGTTTAGTTATTTAAAACCCACTCGGCCTTGTTCCTTCCAAACATAGACGGAACTGATAGATTTTAGGCAAATCATTAACTTACAGTACAGATGGAAGTTGTTTTATAAAGCCGAATTCTATTTTTGGTCGCATGAACACCTGTCCTCGTTTTGGAAGTTTGTAAAGGCACCGCAATAGTTTCAAGCAACGATCACGTTTTCTTCTCTTTATAACAAATCTCTTTAGCTCCGCTTGCGAGTCTGCATTCTAAGCCAGTGTCACGTATTACAAAGACCAAATGTTCCCGATTTAAGGCAAAAACTTAGTTCTACTCACTCGGGTAAGGACTCGGCCTCTTCTCGAGTTGGCCACACAGCACACTACTTATCTGCGTCTGAAAAACATTCATGGATTTTATTGGTCGGTGGGGCAAATCGGGCCTCCTGCTGCTCCAACTACCTTCTCCTCAACCTGCGAACTGGGAGCATGCTTTCTGCGATTCCCCTCAGCTCGAACGCGGATCCTCTGTTTGCGCGCTACGAACACGCAAGCGCATTGTGTGACGGTGAAGTAAGTCTTGCTGTTTGTACGCTAAATTAATTCATATTATTTTCAAAATTGAAAAAGCAAAATTTTAAACCTGATTGTTTAAAATATGCCTTCAAATTTAACCTTTACCTACAGTAGGTGGGCTAACTCATGAAATGTCCACCTAAATTCCGAAATACGTTTTCGTTTCGAAAAGATTAATTAAGTAGGGTTGTAAAACTAATCAGCCTGCAACATAATTCTAGAATATTTCAGTCACCTCAGGATGCCAGCTTTCGAATTAACTTCCTTTCGGCTGTATGCAAAAACTGCAGTCTGTTAAAAAGGACTACTTAAGTAGATGAATTTTTCTCATTGATTTTCGATGCCCCTAAAAGTCCAATCATATTTCATGGAAAACCTACACAAAATATTCATTATTTTGCTCCTTTGGTACAAAATTACGTCTTCTTCTAATCTTGTACTCAAAGGAAGGGTATAATTCGGTTTTCAAAAACTTTTCCAATTCCCAAATAATTTTGAACCCGCTCTACCGTTACACTTGGATTCAGGGTTTCCAAACTACAAGCCGTATATTTTCCGCGTACGGAAAACCACACATTTCTCTACGGTAATAAAGGGGGACCATATAGGGTTCATAAAATTTAGCAGTGGATTTGATCCATATTGTTACCTTAACAAGCCACATTGGTAAATGCAGAGACAGGACGATTTATGAACGGCCATTTTACGGTATTTGAAAGTCCCACAATTAGGAACTTTTTGGAAACCGAGTTATGTCCCTCCTTCGAGCATAAAATTAGAAGATGTAATTTCCTGCCGAATGAGCCAAAGAAGAATATTTTTATGCATATTTTCCATGAAACATTGAATTTTTAGGGCCATCGGAAATCAATGGGCAAAATGCATGCTACGTAAGTAGTCACCTTTTACGGAGCATGGTTTTTTCCATGCAGCTGGAAGGAACTTCATTCGAAAGCCGGCATCGTGGGGTAACTGAATTATTATAGAATTATGTTGCTTGACGATTATTTTTCAAACTCTACTTAGTTAATCTTTTCGAAACAAAAACGCATTTCGGAATTTAGGTGGACATTCCATGAGTTAGCCCGCCTACTGTAGAATATTACCTCGTTTCGATCAGACATCTCGACCAAGGCAAAACGTGCTTACCTAGGCACCCTTCCGTGCGACATTTTGGAGTTGTTAGTTAGTTAATTAGCAAATGTTCAGAGGTCATATCAAGGAAAACTCCACTTTGATGACTATCGTAAATTTTATTTTGCACTGGAGGATTTAGAGTGGGCATTACAAGCGATGGCCGTAACTGGGGTAGTAAGGCCACTATTGCGATTGACACTATCTGCCGATGGGACCGCGGACAGGGCGTTGGATGAGTCGATGGCATGTCGACAGCAAGACTTGGTATTTGGAGGCGAACGACTTATCAGGTGCGTTCCTGGATTAGGTCAGTGCACATCGCAGTCAACATGGCTATTAACACTGCTGATAATGGGGTGCAAATTCCCATGAAGCTCGCGAGCGCCTGGTGGCGGCTCTATCAACAATTCCTGTGGTATTCCAAGCAAAGTCCTGACCAGTTTCCAACGAATGCGTAAATATGAGAGACGGCCGGTTTTGTCATCGGACAACCTGCTAGTGTTTGGTAACAAGAATCCTAAAGCACTAAACTGTCTAGTTGAAATTCGCCGGTGAATTTTTGACTTCTGAGGGGCATTCCGTTTTGATAGCGTAGCACTGAAATGTCCCCCACTGCAGTGTTGGGTTATGCTGTCTACCCAAGACCCTTTCTTTTTAAGCCCAAGGAGGCGTATATTATTCCAGGTGCAGCGGCTCGCATGACGCAGAGGTTCTTTTCCACCGGAGCGTAAACCCTGTCCTGTCCAACACAAATCCTTTAATTTCCCACGGCTTTTCGATTTACCGAAGCTTATTTCGGCCTTATTTGTCTGAGAGGCCTATCTTACAAATCTCTCTCTTTTTTGTACAGTTGGTATTATTTGGTGGTGCCAATCAGAACAGTCCGTTTAGTGACGTCTGGTCAGTCCCCATCGACGTGTGTCCCCTCTCCAGTGGAAACGCAACTGACCTTACTGTGGCCGGTTTCTTTGCGGCTACTCCGTCTCGAATTCAGCCGGCGAATGCAGACTCGGTTTCCGGTCGCACTCAACACACCTCCTCCTGCCTGACTGAAGTTAATGAACTAATAGTCTTTGCTGGCGGCGCCCTCGGCAGCACACCTGTTGACGATGCAAAGGTGTGTTCGCGCTCTGCGTAATGACCTCTAGTTCAATGCGTGTTAGTGGAGTTTCTGTTATCTAAGTGGCAGCATTTCGCTAAAAAAATGCCGAACATGCAGCACTTTACTGAACCAATCGGATTGTCCGGCGACGGCCACTAAAAGGGGTGAAAGCTCCCCTTGGCTGTCTAAAGAACTAGGTTCGCAAAGCAAAATAAAGTAGTCTTCAGTTCCCATAGTACACTAGGCTGGTTTCTCGCTTGAGCCGCGAGTTGCTTGAGTCATGGTTCACGGGACCTCAGTCTATCAACAAGTGCAATGACATCCCCACTCCCTATTCAGTCCTGAGGCATAGACTGGCCAAAGCAATTGACCACTCGAGGAGCGCGCAAGCACGTGAGCCAGATGGCCGAGCAATCATCACGCCAGCATCCAACACGGGTGATGAGATGTCAGCAATTAACAACTTGCATGCCGGCCATCAAGCAATTAGCGCACATGCGGGCAACAATCCTTGATGAAGGCAGCACGGTTAATTGCTGTAGGTATGCGGTAGCATGGCGACCGCATCCTATAAATACTGCGACTGCCTGTACACTAGCCACCCTTTTCTGCAACTGTCTCTGATGATGGATTCAAGAGAGAATCCGAAACGTCAGGCGAATAAAGCCATTGTTCCAGCGATCGCTTCTTCTTCTTCTGAACAGCTTCATGTTTTTCAACCGACCTGAGGGATCGGGACTGGCTTCATTGAAACAGCTCTCTGCTCATGACGCGCAGTGTGTCCCAACCATTGCAGCCATCTGTCTTAAATGACATAAAATGTTGGCTTTGATGCTGCAACTAGTCCATCTTGTCTCCCTTTAGTCCGTTTAAAGTTGTAACAGCCGTTGAACATTCTCTACACCGCAACCGTACACGATAATTTTGGGTCATGGGTCTAATGGAATCATCACTCAAGTCGTGGTCTGTAATTAACTCCCCTGAAAGCATTCAGACCAGCGTTAACTAACAAAGTCCGCCTCGATGATTTTAGTGCCCATCGAAGGCTTGGATACCTCATACAACGGTTACTTTTTCACAATTTCGAGTTCCTTTCGGCAGAACAGTGCAGTGCTGAATTTCCATTTTTTGTTTGTTTTCTAGTTTTGTACTTCTTTTCACCACTTAAAAGTCCATTAGTTTTCGTCAAATTAGGTCTACATGTACATGATTAAGGAGAAGGAATGGATAACAGTGGAGACAGAGGGCTGTGCCCCGTCACCTCGATTGGGCCACTTGATGCTCTACCAACCCCCTGATCCGCGTTCGGAAAAAAAGACTAACGGAATGCCGGGTGTCTCTTCGTTCTTTGTGCATGGTGGAATGTCGGGAGAGGAATTCTTCGATGATTTCTATCGTCTTGAACTTCACCGGGTAGGTAATTGGTCAAACAACCGTCATTCTCTGGTGACCTGCCGTTTCTTATGTCTACCACGTCTGATAATGCAGCACATTCAGCCTACTCAATTGTCTCAAGCACAGAGATGGTTTCATGCCAAACAAGAAGAATAACCATTGCACACTTACCAGTCTCGCATGCATGGCCGTTGAACTCCGTATGTTGGGGAAATTCAAAAACTGAGGACTGAGGGACGACCCTGATGTTTTTGATGGACCGGAGGGAACCGGGGCTGACCTCCCCATAGTAGATTTGTGCCCATGGGACAGGTGGCGGGCGATGTGCCCACCACCCATCTTGTTCTAGTTGTGGTGTTGCAGCGAGTTCATTTTATTAACTACGTCCGATGATGCACCAAATTTCTGTGTCTTGGGTGAGCCTTAAGATACTGCCAGTCTCCTGGAATATTTTATAAGTGGAGCAGCGATTCGTCCCCTGCTCAGTGTTGTTTATTGTCGGTGTGCAACAGGAAAAAAATTTAACGCAGCATAAAGTCCCTAAAGACTTTCACGTTTTGTTTTCACAGTCGCAAACCTTAAGACGGTTATTCTGAGGAGTGGTTGGGGAGAGCTGTATAATCATGCGCTGCCCTTCAGTCTCTCTAAATCACTTCAGAGGTGGATTGGGCGAAGCAGTACCAGTACCAACGTCTGCGGCCCATTTAATGTTGGCTAAAAATTAAACAAACTAGTAACGATTATGTTCTATGCAGACTACTGAAGATGTGCTCTGGAATGCTGACCAGAACACCCAATAAGTAGTTGAAAGGTCGTCGGTTCGAGTCCGTCCCTGTGCCCACATTTTACTTAGTACTCCCATGTTATAGTTAAAGAACAATGGCTACTTAGTAAACTTACGTAGTGTATAAAATGTTCTTAAAAGAAGTCGATCGGTTAGGTCAAACATTCGATACCTTGGCCCCTATTGCAGCCAAGTAGATATGCTATTATGCTTTATACTTGAAACACATTCCATACCTGTTCCGCTCAATTCACTAGTTTGCTGACTTGCTTACTTGATGCCTCTTTAGGTTACGCATAACTTATTAACACGAAGACGACTCTTTCATTGTTCACGCCTGTTTTTCTCCCACGCTTTTCCACAATGAGGCCAAGATTATGGTGTGAACTACCGACCGTTCCTGATGATTGCACCCAGCCCTAACCCTCCCTTTCGACGCGCGGGTAAACGTCTAGTTTGACTTAACAATCACAAGAAATTCCCAATGTTTCGTTTAATGCCAGAGTTTGCAAACTTCACTAGCCTTATGAGAGCAGTGTAACTAGTGCCGTTTTGCGTAAAGTTTCACAAGGTATCATTTTTATCCAATGGGTAGAATTACATATAACTACATCGGAGGTAGGCGGACAACGACATGGAAGACTGCAACAACAATGTGTTCTTACCTTCTCTAGGCATTCGGCCAGGCATACTGCGGGTATTCACGTCAGCTTATATTCATCCATAAGTATTGGTTGATATCACAACTTTCTGAAGAAGACAGGAGTGAGCCTCAGCCGGCTCCTATCACGATTCATCCGCCGTCACCTGATTTTCATGGAAGCAGAAGCGAATTCCCCTTTCCCGGAGGGAATTTATTTCTTATGTTTCCTGCTTATATTAATAACTGTTTACAGGGCAAATGCACATAAACATGCGTTATACCACCTACTGTATGTAGGTGGGGTGCCGTTGAGTTCCAGCAGCCTTTTTCAGCCTCATGCCAGCTGCTGAGACACGTCTCATTCTGTTTCATCCTAATTTTGTTTCTCTTCAACAAAGTACCTCACTACGAGCCTCTTTCTAACAGCCTGACGCCGCTCTTGGTGGCCAGGTCAGGGGGACCTGGCACGCGGTTCGAACGACTGGAGGCGACGCCGGAAGTCCCCTTCAACCGCCTCCACCCAGAGCCGCCCACGGAGGTGGTGTGATCGTATCACCGCTTTTCCGTCCACAGGTCCATTGCCGTCTCATGTGTCGCGTCTTTGTCTTCGGCGGTCTCAACTCAAGTGGCCCTCTCAACGATTTTTACTATTTCGATGAGGGTCTGTTTGGACTTTTTTTACTCCCCTTCCCCTCATCCTCCCCCCCCCTCCTCCCCCACTGCCTCAACGTCTACCACTGTGGCGTCTACCATGCCCATAAACACTACATACAATCCTGACACACCAACAAGCACCAACACTACCGTCAACGCTAACGCAGTGACCTACTTATTTCTTCCGGAAGGGTACTTAAACCTTTTTGTGTCATGCCAGTTCTCACCATACAGTGCCTGCTGCAAGGATCGCCGGTTGCGTTTTGATTTATTTTGTCTCGATTGGGACACAAACGCTCCACTTCCTCGATGTCTCTAAACGGTTTCTGTTGTCGGACGTGTACGCCTGACTTATTTATTTCCTTAAGGATACTTATGCATAGCCCCTCTCATAAACAATAATAAGACGATTAAAGTTAGTTGTGAGGTGGGGTTGCACAACCTACAGTGCGTGACCGATCTCATGAAATGTTGGCCGAAATTCTGAAATTCGTTTTCGATTAAGAAGGATTACTTAGTTTGGGTTTTAATATCGATCAGCATGCGGCATAATCCTATAGCATTTCGGACTCATCAGGATGCCGGCTTTTGGATACACTCCCTCTTGACCTCCTGCAGAAACCGTACTCGGTGAAAAACGACTACTTAAGTAGCATGAATTTTTCCCATTGATTTTCGGTGGTCTTATAAATTTGAATATATTTTACAGAAAAAGTACATAAAAATAAGCTTTCCATTACTCATTTGGTAGAAAATAACATTGTCTTTGCATTTTATGCACGAAGGAAGTGTATATATAGATTTTAAGAAAGCTTCCTAATTTCCGAATATTTTTGAGCCTGATCTGCCATTGCATCAGTGTTCAGCGATTTCAGTCAACAAGGTGCATGCTTTCCGCGTAAGGAAAATCCTATATTCCTCTATGCCTTTAAGAAGATACCACATAGAGTTCATAAAATTTCACAATGGATCCGAACTGTGTTGTACATTTCATAATGGGGCAGTGGTAGACGGACATGTGCGGTCCTGTACGCATGGACATTGCATACTCTTAAAAATCTCATAATTAGGAACTTTTTTGAAACCTAAATATACCCTTTCTTCGTGCATAAAATGCAAAGAAAATGTTATTTTCTACCAAATGAGTAAAGGAAAGCTTATTTTTATGCACGTTTTCTGTAAAATATATTTGAATTTATAAGACCACCGAAAATCCATAGGGAAAATTCATGTGTGGTATTTTCTTAAAGACATAGAGAAATATATGATTTTCTTACGCGCAAAGCGTTAACCTTGTAGACTGAAATTACTAAACGCTGACGTACTGGCAGACCAGGCTAAAAATTATTCGGGTATTGGGAAACTTTTATAAAAACCTAACTATACTTTTTCGGGCATATAATAGGAGGACAATCTGATTTCCTACCAAATGAGCAAAAGAAAGCATATTTTTGGACATTTTTCTGAAATAAATATTTGCACTTTTAAGACCACCGAAAATCAATGGGAAAAATGCATGCTACTTAAGTAATCATTTTTTACCCAGTGTGGTGTCTGCAGGAGGTAGGAAAGAGCGTATTCAAAAGCCGACATCCTGGCGAGCCCGAAATGCTATAGGATTATGCCGCATGCTAATCAATATTACAACCCCACCTAAGTAATCCTTCTTAATCGAAAACGAATTTCAGAATTTCGGCCAACATTTCATGAGATCGGTCACTCACTGTACCTTTGTCCTCCCTTCTAGTCGAAAATGCATTTCGGAATTTCGACTAACATTTCATGAGGTCGGTCACAGACCGTACATGGAGCGACTTCCAACTGCAAAGGGCGCCATTCACGTAAAATCAGTGACTAAGCCTCGGCGATATTGCCCCGCCGCTTAGCATTTTGCAGTCAATGGCGCTCACAGCTCAAAAAACAATGACCCGGTGGTTACGACATCTGTTTGGAAAATGGAAACGCCCGTATTCCAGTCTCGGTGATTGTTTTAATTTACCCATACTTTTGGTTGTTTGTCGTGTGTCTATTCAAAGTTTTAAATTTCGCAGTGTCTAACGTTAATACGCAACTGCTGCTTCATTCACAGCGCTTAACCTAAAAGCTTCAATTCCGCCCCACATTTCCTTACGCCTCTGCGCAGACGATGATTTTTTTTAAAGATCTCAAGTTTTTTATTCATTCCTTTTCTGTCTCCTAGTGGCCTGTCAGTGGGTCAGAGTGAGTGGAATGACGTCTTCGACCAGGGCCCTCCCATCTCCACGGCTGGACTTTGCTTTCACGACCCTCCGGATGCAGGTGAGGGATCCGACTAGGAAGAGAGCCTGTGTGACGGCCACCTTCTCCGAGTTCGAGGCCGACTGGGAGACCTCGCCGGCGGATGGAGGTACGATAGCCAAATTGTCCTGCCAGCCGGGACAGTCCCTACTTGGCTTTGAGACTTTTTGGACAAGGAACATGTAGACGCCTCGGATGGAAATTAGTTTTGGCTTCTGCTGAAACGAAGTTGCACTGTCCTCTTTTCGCGAATAGGTGCAGTGAACGCATTGTAGCCCGTCCCTTCACGGCTTTGGGACGAGGAAGCGGTTCTGATCATTTGGGAGGGAATGCGCTATGTGGTTGTAAAAGTCTCATACAGGCTTTGCTATAATCCACCAGTACTATCGACCACATTTTTGGAAGAGGAAAGGCTTGCCAGAATAGGTCTATTAAATAACTGGCGTTTCGGAGACCTTGGTCTGCTCACCGCTGTCAAGGCACGACATCGAATAGAAATGCGACTGGCGTGCCAGGCTATTCGGCCTTGGGGTGATCGATTTTTTTCTCCTTTCGCTGTCTCCGCCATTTGGCGGGCTTGACAGCTGCGTGGGTTATGAGTCACTACTTCAAAGGAGCCTGGTTGAGCCTCTGCGGGTTCGTTCGGCCTACTGGCCCTTTTTCTCCCTCGTTAGGCCATGTCTGCACGGTTTCCTTAAGCTTTTTTGTGGCCGTCTTGTCCTGCTCTTTGTGTACGTAGCAATGTGGAGTTTATGAATTGAAGGAGTGTCAAGAGGCATGTTAATGAAGTTGGTATCTGAATACCACGCCCAAGTGTTATTCTATCCCTGAGTAGCTCCGGCCTTCTATGGTCGCTGCTTGGAGGTCAAAATATAGCCAGTATCGTAGAGTGCGTTGCAGGTCGAGAGTTCGAGTCTAGCCTCTGAGTTGCCAAATTGTTCTCGTGTAGGCGGGTCTGCGATTTTCGTCTGGTTTTTCCAACGTAGTTACAATCTCCACTATTGCAACTTATTCTGTTGACAGCGGCCGAAGTTTCGATAAGTGGCAGCGTGTCTCTAGGTTGCACTGAACAGCCACAAATTGTTGCCTGGGGTCAGTGAACTGTGCCTACTCTGGCGGGTTATAACATCCGAGAAACCGCGTCGGAGACTCCTTTTACGTAGGGAATGGCCCTACGGACTATGGGTTTTTGCTTCTTTGATCGTTATCTGTTCGGTCGGTCTGTTATAGCGAGCCCTGGCTCTTTCTCGAATTATCTTTTCAGACCTCTTAACTTTATCAGTCTGACTTATTACACTATTTTCTCTTTTAACGGAGGGGATTTAGGTGGCCAAGTTGATAGCTTCTGATGTGTGATCCTTTGTATTTCCGCTTCTGGTCCCTGAATTTGAATGTTGCCGTCCCTTAAGGCCTTGCGAGAGCACCATTAAATCATTAAATCTTTCTCCTAGTTGATCTGCAGTGAACGGTTCTGAGTTGGGTCCCGTATTTCAAAATTTGTATTATGTTAGGGTTTTTAATTTTCTTAGAAAGAGGTTTGTGCACTTCGGGCAAAGCTTTCCCAGCCTCGTTTTAGGCTTGTTCTATCAGCTCAAGAATAGTAGCGCAATATTAATTGTTTACTTACGGACGGCCAGTAGGACATAAGTGTACATGGAAACTTATTCACCATACTGAGCACAGCAGCTGAAAGTTTAGATACTTTTTTCACTAAATTTGTGACGTTACATAATAGAAGTAGGAAGAGTTCTGCTCGCCAGTGGCCCCCTTGGCCTGTCTTTACTGGTCCATAGGTGCTCCGGTTTTTCATTTGGAACATTGCGCAGTTATTCCACTGAAACTAGTAAAAGTCGCCCGAAATATTTATATCGACTTTCGAAACGAACCTGTAAAATCTCGGTTTGCCGACCTTTATCCAAGTTCGCACGCTATTTTCTGAACAAGTTCAGTGGCTTGCCATTGCACACCTGGATACCACATGCCCGAAAACATACAAGGGACGGGGGAGGGTCCACTGATGAGCTGAACCCTCATTCTTTATCTGCCTCCTCCTCCTCCTCCTCCTCCTCCTCCTCCTCCTCCTCATCATCATCATCATCATCATCATCATCATCTTCTTCTTCTTCTTCTTCTTCCTCCCATCACTACATTCTTTTCATGCCGCATGTGGTTTTCACCCCTTCCTTTACCCAAATTCTGCGCGATATCATTTGACCTTTCAGACCAGAATGAGGCCGTGCCCATGGTATGGCGGAATTTCCTCTTCATCCACGGCGGCATGAATGCAGGCCAGAACATCTTCGGAGATGCCTACATTTGTTGTCTGGATGAACAGCAAACGGAGGAGGCGGAGAAGTTAGCTGAGGAGAATGGTGATAGGAAAAGTTGATATTTGCAAACCAACTACAAATTCTACCTTTTTTAAAAAAATAAATAGATGTCCAGACACTCCTGTTTACTTAATCTTCTCACTGTCTTTTCTGGTTTCGCCAGCCTTGTGTAAAGTCAGCTTCCTCGTAAAGACAGTAAGGTCATTTCTGTCTGCTAGACAGGTCCCAAAGCACTGGAATAGTGAAGCAGATATGGGCGAATCACTCTGAGTGAGATGCCACTTCAGCTGGAACAACTGGAGCGGGTAAGCAGTCAGTTAGTCGGCCGGACCTCCCAGTATCCTTAGAGGTCACCATCATTACAAGCCTATTAATTTTGCGTGCATATAAGGTATACAGCCTTCGTGCTAGAAACGTTTGGGGACGTTTTCATCGTGTCCTGCGTTAGGTGTTACTTGGTAATCTTTCTTCAGTCTAAGCGGAAGTTGCGGACTCAAAGTTTTTCCAGTAATATGCTTCAAATGAAGACAAAAGGTGTTGCCACTTATCTCGCCACCTATTTCCAACCGACCGGACAGGACAACGGGCCCGTGGCCCAGTGGTTAGAGTAGTTGGACTTCTAACAGGTCGCGAGTTCGAGCCTCGTGTGTCTTACACTTGGGGTTGGGTATGACTTGCTGACGACGGCTAATAAGCCAAAAATGGCCATTCCAGTCTCCCGTGTCTTTGTCGGTAACACCATTCTGCCTATTTCCAAATATGGATGTGAAGAGACGGAGCTGGGGAAGTATATAAGGGACGCCGCCGGGGGACTTTTTGGTAAGGGTATGGTTTGTACCCGGCGTAGGTTAAATAGTGCATAAAACTGCCTACTGCATTTGCTTAAGTAGGTGTTGGTCGATTCTGTTTTTTTCCCATGTGGCATTTAGGCTTGGTCTGCATGTTTCACCGACTTATGCTATTGACCTTGCTAACCTTCTCGAGAACCAGGCGCTGCAGGAATGTCTATATGGACTCATTATTGTGCTCCTCACCCTGGACGTGTTAGATGCCATATGAAAATTTTGTCCGCAATCAATAGCATATGAAAGGTTATACACATGAAAATTCTTACAGCCGAGAGAATTGGCTGTTGTGTATCATCCCCATCGGGCTTATCAATTGTTCGGCTGTTTCACGGGGTACACCTTCACTATGTAGGACATAAAGTTTTCTTATGCTTGTTTTAGACCGGTAGTGTTTAGTCCAAACCATAGACGATATTGTATCTCGTCAATGTGGGCCCAGACAGCTCGGCCTGACATAGGGCCGCCTTCATGTAATCTTCCTTTCAGGCGGTTCCAATACGCTTCAACTGAATTGGTATGTCAGCCTGTGGTTGAATCCACAAGACTTCCACCATGGTTTACGCTATACTGTTCATATCCCTCAGGCGGCTGGCGTGAGTAGACTTTCCATTCATCCGTCACAATCCCACTGCCTTTCGCCACACACTTTATTATTTTCGGCCCGAGGGCTTGCCAGGTTCTTTTGTCCAATTTCTCCACCACTTTTCTTTTTATTCGTGTCATACATTCCGAGCAGCCATAGTTGCCTTTTCTGCCCACCGACGTTGTATTTTCGGCGGCTCATCTGTGGAGTGAGAAGGCGGCTGACGGCCAATGGCTACCCGCGCAAATTTGTCAACCACTGCATACACAGACGAAACCAGAAACCAAACCCAATCGGCCCTAAATTTTGGCGAACACTTCCCTACGTGAGGAACGTATCGGAAGCCGTCAGCCGCCTTCTCACTGCACTTGCAGTTGGGGTTGCACACAGGCCGAAAGCAACCATCAGGTGCCAAGTCATGAGGCCGAAAGACCCACTGCCATGGCAGGAAACGTCTGGTGTTGTTTAGCGGATCCGATGCAGTTGCGGACAGAGCAACTACGTCGGAGAAACTGGGAGGTTGCTCCGGACGCGCATGGCTGAGCACGCAGCAGCGGTGAGGAGGGAAGACGTCAGCTCTCAGGTAGCGGCTCATTCCACAGAACCCGGCTATAATTTGAAGTTTCGAGAGGCTGAAATCCTCACAAGAGCTAACAATTGCGTGAGTCGCGAGCTGCTCGAATCATGGTCCTCAGGCCAGAAATCCATCAAGAAGCGTAATGATTTACAGGTACCATATTCTGTGCTGAGACATTCCCTGAGCAGGGGAATCAGTCAAGTGGGGAGGGTGCGGGCGCTCAGCTATTCTGGTGACAGCGAGCCGAATTGCCGAGTGATCACGATAACACCAACAGGGCTGATGAAATTGCGCCAATTAACGACTCGGACGCAGACTGACGAGCCATCATCGCCTTAATTACGACCCCCCAGCGGTGGAGAACTGTTAATTAAGGCACACATATGGCCTCAGGGTAGCTACGTACTATAAATACTGCAGTTTTTCATGCCTTCGCTACCTTTATCTGCAACTGCCTCTTGGCCAAACCTAGGTTATCAAGACTTGGGCTTCAAACCCGCGTTTTTTGAGCATCAGGCATAATTAAGCTCCGCGCTCAACCAAGTGAGCTCTTGGGACCCAAGGCACAAAGGGACGAACGTATGCAGTACCCCGACCAGTGAACGCCTATTCTACATAGTTAATACTCCAGACTGCAGGCAAAAAGATCAATTGTCAATGGTTCACTTCGAAGAGCGTTTGACCTACTAACGTTCGATGAATTAAGGGCGTGGTTACATGATATGGAAAGAAACCATCCCCTCGATCCTTGACTGTCTGTCTGCAAACAAACTAAGATTTCATTTTTAATTAAGTGATGACGTCAGGGGTTTTGTCTGAAGGATAAGGATAAAAAACCAATGTTGTTTTTCCGAAGAGGAGTTTTTAAATGGTGCCCCAAAGACGAACAACAGTTAGATCCGCCTCTTACTTAAACAAATTGACTGACAGAACTGTTAGAAAATCAAGAAAATATTTTCTGGATCCCCAAAAGTTTAACCTGGAAATAGGTTAATGAATCATTCGTCGTATCACCTTACAGCAATTCTAAAGGCGTGCTCACCGGTCGCGCTACGGAACTCACTCGCTAATGCCATTTTGTTTTGAGCAGTAATCCGATTCTGGAGGCTGAATTTTTTTCACACCTGAGTATGTTTCGCAAATACAACTCCGCCTATTCCGACATGCAATTGGGGATAAAACGCAACTTTGACAGTTTTTAACTTTAAACCCTAAGGGTGTGTCTCAGGCTGCACTTCGCTGAATTTAACATGCCAAACAGTAAACAAGAGGATTGGCAGTTGGTGTCTATTTAAGGAATGACAGAACAAGTGGATTCGTCGACTTACCTGTAGGACAGTGTCCTGGTGTCTCAAGTTTACATCTAGACTACAGGTGGCTATCCACATTGGTATGTGAAGTTTATTTCCGAAACAAAAATTATATTTCATGCAAACCGCATATCATAAAAATTTGCAGATTTGGCCATATTTTGTAGTGAGAGTGAAGTATGAACCGTTTACACGTACTTTCTTTCGATTCGCGCCTGGGGAACATATGGATTATAGTGCTCACTTTATAACAAATTCCTCGAGCCATCCGACAAACAGGCACCTGCGCATTTTCGAGGGAGGCGGGAGGGATTTTAATCTTGAATAAAATACGGGGATTTTCATTTCAACCAAATTGATGTTATAGAATCAAAAGGGCATAAAATCCCCTTTTTCGTCGGTGTGCGATGGAACTCTACCCAATAAGTTTTCTGTGAGTGCTGTAAATTGTCATAGCAGGTGGACCGGGAAAATATTATTTTTTGCCGACAAATTTTGTCCGTCTTTCAATTTCAAACAAGGGTCTTGCTGACCTTCCAGATTTGCACAACGTAGCTATCTGTAACGAAATTTGAAAAAAACGCCATTGCTGTTGATCGCAGTGTGCGTGTACAGGTGCGCTTGACAAATGGGCCGATGATGCATTATGCGTGCTCTTGGCGTCAGTGTGCCATGACATCATAAACTTATGCTTGACGTCATACTATTAAGAATTCAGCGTGTGTGCATTTGCCGAAGATCGCCATGGACAAAAAGTGATCTTGCTCCGAAAAAATCCTTTAGCGAAGCACAGGATTTTCCGTGGCAGTCCCACGTATACATTATTCCAACATCGTTTCATTCCCCGATCACAATGCCTAACACAAGCACACCTTGGCCAGCTGCTGCCGATGGAATTAATGGTACCCGACGACATAAGGCTGTAAGGCCCGTTGGCGATGGTCAATATAGGCGGTCCCCTTCCTTTTTGTATGTTTCTAGTCACTTTACGACTTCCCGATAGCACTCCGAATTGAGCTCTAAGACAAAACGGGAAAAGCGTGTACTCAAGCCAGATCTGTGCATACGCCTTCCACATAGATGCCTCTAGTGCACAAGTATTGTGCGTCTCTACGTACTTTATTAACCTCCCACGTTGACTATCACTTATTAGTCGTGCCAGTGGCGCATGCCCACCCGTTCGATTACTAGAACACTCACTTGAATGGCCACCGTTGTATACTTCTTGTCACGCAACACCTCATTTTGCAAATGTCACATGTTACGAATCTCGGTATTCTTTCACGCGTTCTGAATGCTTTCTCTGTTCTTTTGCGTTCTCCCATGGAGGGATCAAACACAATCGACCCCTTACCACACTACCGCATGATCATGACTACGGGTAAGTATACGTCCTCGTGGCGAGAACCATATTTCAAAGTTTTTGCCTACTTTCCCTATTTGAGTAGTTCCATTTTCGAAGATTCTGAGTTGGTGATTGTAACGACAGCCTTGTTAGCCGGCACCTCCCGCCCTTTCACTGTTCCTCACTGACATCCTCCCTTTACAAGTATACATCAACACATTTTATTGCTGTTCAATTTATGTTTTTCGGTTTCTGTGAGAGTTCATTTATTGGCAGAAGGAAAAGCGTGTACTATCTCAAGTAAATAAGCTGAGTATTCAGAATAGCATGTCCGACAAAGGCAAGGGAGACTGGAATGGCCATTTCTAGCTCATTAGCCGTAGTCAGCCAACCGTA